AGTATGTTTCCATTCGTTGTTGATGCATGAGTTTGGTGTAGATAGTTTTTTGCCAAATACATTTCTTCATGTTTGTATTACTTCATCATGTCTGAAAGGTTATTTTTTAATTCAGAAGCTTTGTCATTTCTGAATTAAGTTATTCTTATCTTAGGACTAGCTTGTCAAAAGTGATGTGAATGTCATTGATGATAATGTCTATAGTATTTGTATTTATTGTCATATATGTTTCTTCTTTTTTACCCTAAGTATTATTTGTATTATATGTATATTTATATATAATATTTCTATATGCTAAAGAACTTATAGACAAAAAAATCAATAGAACGCAGCCTACTCTTGCTTTTGCCTGAAGGCCTCCCTATTAAGGGAATAAGCAGTCCATTATACTTTCCACTACAAGGAACACAGAACGAAGCTAACTAAGTAATCTTTATGGATTGGGAAAATTTTAAAACAGTGTCAATTCAAATTTATTGTAAAAGTACAGAGAAAGTTATTGTATTAATTATGAGTTCACTTTTTAATTTAAAATGATTAACCAGTTTCCTCTATATATTTTTTGGTGTTTACCTTTTCATTCCTACTAGGAGCATTCCTTTTATACACTATATTTTCAGTATTGGGATCCTTACATGATTGTAATCTATTTGAATGTTTATTGAGATTTCATTTTATTATTCTTTTCTATAAAGAGCCTGTTTGGGATTGCTTTTCTGTCGCTTAAAAACGCTTTTATTTTAAGAAAATTGCTTTTAGATGTGTCTAATGGTTACCAATTTTAGTTCAGGAGAGCTTTTGAGTGAAGTTAAAATTTAGCTGTTTTTCTTTGGAGACTTTTATCCTTTTTTCTTTTTCATAAATACACTTTTACCCCTTTTATAAATTACTTTTTTATGAAATAAGTAACATTCTATTAAAGGATATTATTGTAAAATTGGCAATAGGAATGTTTTAAAAAATACTGTTACGAAACAAATTAAAAAAGTACTTTGATTGTGAAATGTACTTTATATAATTTATTATCAAACACATAACCTCTTTTTTTTTTCTTTTTTCTTTTTTTTTTTTTTTTTAATACAGTAGCAATTTGATGATAGTTCTACTACAAGATCGTTTTTTTTTTTTTCATTCTAATAGCAAAGCCAAACGGGTACAAAGTAACTATTAAACAAGCTATATGTTATTGTATTGGGGTTTGGCGGCAACTAAGAAACAAAATATTCATAAAATGAGAGTGGTCGAAACATGAAATTTCATACTGTACATTTTAGAAACTATAAGCCATAAACTTGAATCTTAGTTAGAATGATGACTTTAGCCTAACTTGTGACGAGATTCCGACTAAATATTAGTCTCTGAAGCCCAAAGCTGGCAATGATACTGCTATAGCAAATGGCCATATCCTCCTAGATACTTCTTCTGGTGTTAATTCAATCAAGTATAGTCGGGAATGTCTATTCTACAATCTTTTATCTCAGACTATTTCAATTTTAAAGCTTTTTGGGAGGGAATATGTTTGATTGCACACACTCAATATAGATTGGTAACATTTATTGCAGTGTTTGTTTACTTGTTTGTTGGATTAATACTAGGCTTTTACTTCTGGGCCATGGGTGCAAGGTTGTATCGGGATTTTGTCTCCGGTATAAAAGGAAGGAGGATGTTCGGCTTCCCACCAAACCTTATCCAACTATACCCCTAATGATTTTTACCAAAGAATAGCTGTAATAGTCTAAAGTCATCATTATTGGTTATTGGCCTATGTTTTGAACTAGTATATTAGTACAAAAGAGGTATTAGTCCACATTGGAACCAGTGTAATATCAAAAAATACAACCGATTACGGACAATCCAATATCTTAAGTACTTCTTTACCCATATCTTGAAAAAATGGGATGTTAAAAATGTTATGTTCCATGATTCTGAATATGTGTGTTATTTCATGGTTTGCAGGGGAGCTGTTTGTGGATGGAGAGATAGTTAAAAGGTCTCCTGAGAGGCAAGAGAGAATGGACGCATACCAGAAATATAGAAAATTGTTCTATAGGAGGAACTTGGAGACAGACGAAGACGAGGAGACAGACGAAGGCGAAGGCGAATTGCAGAAGCCGAAGGCGAAGCCGTAGACCCTGAACCATTATGCCATTCACAGGAATGAGGAATGACCGAACCCGTTATGCGAGGCGCCGTGAAAGTGAAAATGGGCAGTAACTCGATGTCATGTTGGATTCGTTTTTTTGCTTGATTGGAATTATGGTCCATAGTCGAGTATAAGAAAATAGGACATCATATCTGAGCTGCCGGGACTAAAGCTCTTACATCATGCATGAAATGAATTTTCGAGAGAAAAATAACACAAGCTTTATGATATGAGGGTGTGTCATTCACTGTAAATATTTACAAGCTGTCTATTAATATTCTGCTCTCTCTCATATTGCTTGTGTTATTCAACAATCTCCACTTCACAAATATTTATAAATTTTTTAACGGGACTTTCTTGTGTTTCTTTAATCTAAATTCAATTACACCTTAAGGTAACACATGTTGAGTGGAGGCAATTCATGATATTTCTGTCTTGATTATTTCGTATAATTTTTTCCCGTATTTACACACACACATACTGGTAAAAGAGCACATGTGATGCTCGTAAGTAAATCTAATTTACAACAATTGATAATTTAATCTTTTAATTTCAAAGTTCAATTCCTTAATGATCAATAACCTACATAAATTTAATTTATTAAAGATTTTCATTATAATAATTTTAATATGAATAAATAATATTTATTTTTTATTTTTTTATCAAGTACGAAGTATGATTCTATTGGCCATCACACACGCACAAAACAAAAAAAAAAATCAAAGAAGAAAGTAACTGAATATATATTTTGTCTGACTAAAGAATGTTTCATAGAAGAAAGTAACTGAATATATATTTATGCAGGCTTTGTGAGATATTAATTGTTTAATTCGCAGAATTTCAATTTGTTTATGCAAGCTTTGTTAGATATTAAATATTTAATTGGCAAATTTCGGTGTCATTCAGATTGAGATGTAATTTTTGTTTAATTTTGTGTGTGTAGATGACGGAAGTGGAACAACACGTGCAACCAATATGCGTTTTATTTTAATTCGGTTAAGAACATCACGATGTTATTTTTATTATTGTTGAAATTTTCCTGTTTCATTTTTTATAAATGCACTGTCACTACAGAACTTGTCACGCAATCAGTTGCGGTTCTTGTAACTCAAAATTTTGTTTGCAACAAAAACTCATTGGCGTAGCGAAACCGGTTGCGAAACGTGTCACACAATCAGTTGCGATTCTTGTAACTCAAAATTTGGCATAGTAAAACTGGTTGCGCCCGTGTTTTTCAAAATACGTTTTTGGGAATGTCAAGCGGAACCGGTCGCGTCCGATCGGTTGCACTCTTGCACACCAAAATAGTAAGTTGAATTCCCATATGTTTTGGTTCTATATTTTTTGCTAGATTTTTTAAAAACAATACATGCACGAAATTGACTTGAATTCCAAGTATTTTTAGGCCTTCAAAACTCTTACATAAAAATATTTCCTCAATTAGGTTTTTTTACGGGTTTTACATATAAGTTTCTGCAATTTTTAGAGAGCCAAAATTGTGAGATTTTAAGTATATATTTTTCATCTTGAGGGCACACATATTATACACACGAGTGATTTAGGATGGTGTTTTTTTTATTTAATCGGAGTTCAAATAATTGAAGATTCATTAATACCGTTCAGAAAAAATCGAGTTTCTACTTTTCTGCATCAACTTCAAATTTGAAGAAAATAGGTGATTCGTTACACTTTAGAGGAATCAAAACATTTGTAAAGTGTTATTTGATCTACCAATAATCCTTCTGCAGAGATCAAGAGTAAGCATGAGGTGGAGAGTTGTTGGACGGGGGAGTAACAAAGCCAAAGATTCTTAGAAATTGATTTTTGGGAGAACGATAGGGTGTGAGTGAGCCTGAATCAGAGTACTTCAAACATAACTTTATTTCAAACACAGTGGATTGTTTCGCTTAGACCGCGTGACAATCTCAGAAGTTCCTAGACCATTGATCTTTTCTGCCAATCAGGATTTCTCATTAAAAAAGTCAGTGCCATCTCTCAAACTCTACTCTATTTTATTTGCACTTAATTTTTGCTTGTTTAATTTACCTTTATTTTGATAAATTTAGTTTAAACAAAAATCAGATAAAAAAGCCAGTTGAATCAATTCACTCCCTACGGCGCAACTCACAAAGATTCAGGTTCATGTGACGATATCATTTTTTCTTTTTCTTTTTCTTTTTCTTTTTTTTCTTTTTTCCTCCACCCTCTTTAGTAAAGGTAAAACTTATGGTCTCCAAAATCGTTTAAAATATCATTATCTGAACAAATTTGCACAGAAGAAAAATAATAAGAAAATAAGTTATTTTCTGTTTTTACAATTTTGAAAACCATTTTAAGAGAAATAATCAAATAAAACCTATAATGCAACATCAGGGAAATATAAATGAAAAAGAAAAAAATGATCTAATTGTTTAAGCATTTTCATCACTCGACTTTAACCTAGATATCCAAGAATGTTCTCAACCAAGAGATTATACAAACAAAAAACAGTTGTATCCACTCCAACAAAAATATACTCAGAATGAGCTGAACGAGCTAAGTAGTTCTCTGCCAAAATCCAATTACAGGTCTGGAAGGATATGATTCTTTCCCAGGAGTGAAGTAATGGAACAAAAAAAAAAAAAATCTCACAATACGATTTTTTGCAAATCTGTGTAGCCACCATTTAACCTTCCAATTCGAAGATATACGACCACTACTATCCCGTTAATTACCCTCTTATATTTCCACTTGAAAATATTTAAATATAGTTCTATTTCAGTTCCAATAGATTAAGCAGGCCTTTTGCACAACCTTTTACCATATGGTGTACCGGGGCCAGATATGAAAATTTTGGAAGAAAAAAAAAAAAACGAACTTTACAACTAACAAATTAAGAAAATCTTTGATTGCCATGTAGCATAGACATTCTCCAAAACACTGATGAAATTCATGTTTGCTCCATGATTCCAAGTATAATCATTAAAAATGTCAAAGGTAAATTATAGAACTGTACAGTGCTTTACCAAAATACAGTTAATGTATATGCCTGATTTCCTAGAGGCCAGAAATCACTGCCCGAAAAGAACCTAACCTTTAAGTATAGAGAGGAGAAGCTGAAGGCCGGGGGTATGCAGGCGCTTTAGGATCTTCCTTTGCGCTGCTTCTGCAGGACCTAGGTCCACCATTAGAATGCCCATCGCAGTTTAATTGGCGCTCTTTTTGTGTATTTTTAACCATATCCTTCGGATCCTGAAGCTGCTCTAAAACTGTTACCACCTCATCCATGTTTGGCCTCAACTTAGGTTCTGTATATAGGCACTGAAAGGCAAGGTTAGCTGCCTTCAGGGCCTGTCCCAGTGAATACTGGCCTTCGAGACGGACATCAAGAACACGGAAAATTTTACGTTTGTTGGTCAGATATGGTTTTGCCCAGTCCACCAGGTTGTGCTCTCCAGATGGCCGATTCTTGTCTATTGCTCGTTTACCAGATAACATTTCTAAGAGAACAACTCCAAAGCTGTATACATCACTCCTTGCAGTTAGATGACCTTGCCAGAAGAGGGTGCAGACAGTGATCAGAATATAGGTTACCTCCCTTTTTGTTTATTGAATCAATAATAATGGAAAAAATGCTATGAATCTTAACCAATTATAGGGTAATCCAATTAATCCAGAAAATTGAGCATATGAGGTATGAGAGCCGACATTTCTCCCAACAAGGAGAGACAGACAGAATAACTATGCAAGGCTGTCCTTGCCATCACAACTCAAGGGACGCAATTTGATGGAGAGAATTATTTGCTTAGCTTTACTTCTTGTTCATTTTTTTCTCTTTTTGCTGGAATCGCAATTTATACACGAATAGACAATTGGGTGTTTTACGAAGGATCATATGGATAGTTTGAATTCAAAAGATTTGATAAGCTTCTGAAAGTGACAAATGACCTATAAAGTGTCAATTTTCACCCAAAAAAAAGGGCTGCTAAGGCTCAAAGTTATCCGAACACATCCATGAAGCCCTGCCAAACACTTCAACATTGATAGTGCAATAAACCTAAAACTCTATAAGCATATCCATGCATTATTAATTTTTCATATTACCTTTTATTTCAGACACTATGTACATTTAATTAGTACATTAAATCAACCTAGGAATAGAAGCGGAAAAGAAACGTAACAAAAAATAGAGAAGCAGTAATCTGTCAATCTGGTAAGGTAGAAAAATATGCATAAAAGTATTTAAGTCTGCATGGATTGTAGCAAATCATGGAAGAAACAGCATAAGGAAAAATACCTGTTGATAAATACTCTGGAGCAGCATATCCATAGGTCCCCATGACCCTAGTGGAGACATGGCTCTTATCACCAGTTGGCCCATCCCTGGCCAACCCAAAATCAGAAAGTTTCGCATTGAAATTCTGTGTAATTAAGCAAAGGGCATGGAAAAGTAAATCAAACAAGTCCTGATAACCCTTAAACACATCAAATTCAACAATAATATTGAAGTGTGATTAATATGTGCTTCGGGAGTGACATACTGAATCAAGCAGGATATTAGAAGTCTTGAAGTCCCGATATATAACTTTTGTTTCAGCATTATGAAGAAACGCAACTCCCTTTGCAGCGCCAAGAGCAACTTTCATACGGGTGCTCCAAGAAAGCGGCTGGAAGTATGACCCTCCTGTTTCAACAATACTCTGATGTGTCAATTACAAATTATATTAGGAGTTTAGGAGCGTTGAGGTTTGTAAAATATGTGCTTTAAAAAGAAAGAAGTGTAATATAATAATTTGAAATGTCAACTAATAGGAGGATATGAGGAACTGACTCCTGAATAAATGATTCTCCATACTGCCCTTGGGCATGAACTCATATATCAAAAGCCTATGATCATCCTCCAAGCAGTAACCTATTAGTTTCACAAGATTGGGATGATGCAGCTGCCCAAGATAGTTGATTTCTGCCTGTATATTAAAAAGTACAACAGAAAATTAGCTATCCGGTTCATCTAAAATATTCTAGAAACTAAGCGCCTGAAAGATATATTTTCCCCAAACAGAAATTACCTAAGATTTACAAAAACCCGAATTGCTACATCGGTTAGATTCATCAATTTCCATAGCAGAATTTAGTAAGACATTGCAGACCGCTGAATTATGGATAACCACATAATAAACACCGTCATATGACCAAGTCTCCCTACTGTGCACAGAAATTTACAACTATGGCCTACAAGCCAGTATAAGACCTTAAAGCAGGAAGATGAATCGGTTTCCAACAGTTCATAGAAGTTTAAAGTTCATTCACGAATAGATTTGAAACCAATGAATTTGAATTTATTTTAAAAAAATTGAGTATTAGAGTTGGATCAGAAGTAGAAGGTGATGCTAAATTAGAGGTATGGGGATACTTTATTGCGCAACTGAAAACCATGCCAGCAAGATCTAAATAACTTCTTGTAACTTGTTACTTGAAATCCTCACATGTAATTCTCTAGATCAACTCATGCATATTGTTCAAATTTAAATTACTTATTCTAAATTTAAGTTATACTTCTTAAATAATTGAACCTAAATCCCTTCATTTGAAATCCTTCAATCCAAATTGAGCCTTCACAAGGTAAAAAATTTATACTAACCAACCACTCCTTGTGACCCTGAAAACCTTCTTGATTAAGCCTCTTCACTGCAATCACTAACCCAGTTCCAGGCTTTGCAGCTGTAAGTGAATGCTCGTCAACCCATCCCTTGAAAACTGAACCAAACCCACCTTCTCCCAATACACTATCAGGTCGGAAGTTTCTGGTGGCCGTTCTGAGTTCGTTGAAGGTGAAGCTTTTTAAATTGGATGACTGCAAGATTTCGCCCTCACTACGAGGAGTCGCGGGTAGGGAAGCTGATGATACCTTGCCACTCAAATTACTTAGATCATTCCCATATCTGCTGTTACTCCTTGAATTCATTCCTATACAAAACGTGATTTCCAAGTATTATTATTCCAAATCAAGTTGTAGTTATGCTATCTATATGACAGTCAAAACAAAAATAACAATTAATCATAAAACTTTCTCAATAGTCCTTATGGAGAATCACAAGTTCCAACTCATACAAATTTTATATCAGGAAATCAATCTACTATATAAAATTGTGGGTAAATCTCAATCCAAACGCATTTAAAACAATGATTCAGAGATCTCAAATAAAATAATGCCGCAAATTTAGTAATTATGGTTTTGTTTGTACAAAACCATAATAGCGAGAAATACATTTTTAAGTGAAGCAAATTCCATTAAATGAACTTGAATTATAAATGTGTGTGTATAAAGGATCAAACTCATATACAAATTAATGGGTTGTGTGGTCAGGATGACAGATTCAGTACAGCAGAAACACAATGATCCCTTGGTTGCTGATATATTGATAGAAGGGGAAAAAAAAAAAGAACGAAAAAGCAAAAAAATAAAAAAAGAAAACTCAAATCTTTTTCCTCTTCCAGCTTGTGCCTTTTCATAATTTAAAAGGGAATTAAAGAGAAGTCAATTGAATTAAATTCAATACGCCTACACAAGGTTTAATTGAGCTAAGTTGTCAATTTTCCAACAACATATTTGACAAGACCCAAAATTAGTTTTCTCATCATTTTATCATTTTTCCCTGCTACCAAACTACGTAGTCCAAGTGTTTAGGCAAATAAACTCAAATCACAGCAGATATACAGACATACATGTATGTATGAGTACCTGCATAAGATGGATTCTCGGCCTTGATTCGATTGCTCCAGCAAGCCCCCATTAAAACAAAACCTCCAATTCTTAGTCCTCCGAGACTCAACTATACATCCAGATCAGAAGAACAAAAATCAGGGCTCCATTTGCATGAACATGGAAGGGAAAAGAAAGAAAGAAGAAGCTACTTGATCAGGTTCAAAGAATTTCAATAAACAAGTTAGGTGAGTAGACAGGGGAAAAAAAACAGATCTAACGTGATAACGGTGGTTTTCTCACTGTTAAAAGTTAGGTGTCAGCCGCCAAGTGCCTCAGCCGACCTCTTTCTCTGTCTCTCTATAGCTTGTTTGGTTGACCGGAAAATCAATCGGAAAAGTGATACCATAAAGACCGATTGCAAATAATTTCTCTTTCTTTCTTAGTTTTGGTTGGGTGTATTTGGATTTTGGATGGGGAAAAGTGAAAGAAAGTGAGTTAATACTTTTCTAGACCTGAGCGAAGACAATGGTGGACTTGCTTTTTGAGCTTCTTGTCTTATCTGAAACAAAATTGAAAGAGAGAATATCATTTGCCAATAATAATTAATGTTATTATGAGTACTCGATAATTGTTGGATTTAATTTAGATTTGTCTGAGACCAAGCCGACAGATACAATGGGCCTGTAGGCCAACCAGTCGAATTCGGCCCAATCCCAAATTCCAACCGACATGCTATTTGAACCTAATAATCCAATCTAGAAGGCGAACTAAGGATTTTGCAGTCCTTCCTGGAGAGAAATTGAGAAATTATTAAGGTGTTTTCGGTTGTATGAAATTAGTGCAATTTGATAAAATTTTAGTTTAATTTTTTTAATTACTTTTTTAAAATTTCATAAATTTTAATTTTAAAACTTCAATTCTGTGTAATCGAACACACCCTAAATAGTTCCTGATTTATTTAAAACGCACATTTGACACGCACGGTGTATGAGAATTATTAAACGGTTCTGATTCATTTGACACATGGTGAGCTAATGCAATGAAAACTGGTGTTCAATTTTTTTTGTAATATATTAATATACTCTTGCAAGATCATTTTTTCAATTCGAAAGTCTGAATTTAACTGTTCCACCAAGTATCAACAAAATAGGACCATCTTCACCAACAGGCCAATGGCCTAGCGGTATCAGACTCTTATCTTCCAAAGGGAGGTCAGGAGTTTGAGTCTCAGAAGAAACAAGCGTGTGTGAGTACCAACTAGAAAAAAAATAATAATTTCTCTTTCATCTATGGAACATAATCAAAATTATCTTTGTCAATGACTTAATACATTGAGAAATCTCTTAGTTAATCTTCTCAACATAGACTAATAATCTTACCGTTAATATTGTTCTTTTTTTTTTTTGCCCCAATTAGAAAACACCAATTGATCAATATCACTTCATTCAGCTACCTATAGCATCAGTTGCTTAAAAAATAAATAAAATACGTAACGAAATTCATTTATTTTGATATGATTATTAGTGGGATTACAAATGTCTAGACTGGCTAGTTGATGGAGTTGGTCATATTTGTTATCTCATATATATATATATATGTATATGTATGAGTTTGTTTTTACGTTATTCTATAAATAATTGTAGAGGCATGCTGTGATAGAGGTCTAATACCCTCAAAATCACTTCATTATTGCTTTCTCGAGCCTTTTCCCAGAATAGCACCTATTTCTATGTCATTCTCTCAATCTTGTTCTCTCTATCTCTATTTCCTTTTCTTTATCTCTTTCTATATCTATATTTTCTCTCATTTCTATTCTCGAATTGTTATTATAATTATTCACTGTTAAAGTCCTTTTAATTAAGGCAATACTGAACTCACAGAAGAGTATACTTGTTCTCTTTCTCTTCGCATTGCCCGAAAGTCAAAATTCTCAAATAGATTAGCATTGACTAAACACATTCGAACCACATTGTTTGCTCTAACACGCCCGCAACAGATTAATTTTAAATCGGCTAAGCCAACCGATTTTAGCATCAACATTGTTAGCACGCCAGGTGGGACCCTACTTAATGAGTGATTTATAGTAAAAATATGCAGTCGGTTTCTCAACCGACGTACGAATATTCTGATTAGTTATATCAACCGATGTACTAGTAATCTAATCAGCCATATAGTTAGCTAGACAATTATCAGCAATCAGTTGCTAATTATCGGCAGACGCCAATAGTCGATTATCGACAGACGCCAACAGTCGATTATCGGTAAGTTCCTGTAACGACCGAGTCATTTGCCTTCCTTTCCTTTTTCCTGAAATTTTACGAATGAATTTTTTTCGTTTAATTTTCCTTTCTGAGCTCTGTTTTGTGTCGCTTAGTGTCATCTCGAGTGCTCGGAATTGGTTTCTGAGACTCTTTCAAATGAATTGACAACCTCCTTTGAGGACCGAATCATTTTCGCATTTTTTGTTTTTGGACACTATGCGCTATTTCGTCTTTTCACTATTCTGTCATTTTCCCTATTTCGTCTTATCTCCGTTTGTCAATTTTTGGCACAACCTCACTTTTCGTGCTCAGAGTTAGTTTTTGACTTCACATGTTTTCATCTTGAGTGGTTTCCTCGAAATACGTATCTTCACTTTTGCAAGAAAGTACTCTGGTTACTCTTGGTGTCCATAGGGGCATGGATGTACAATTCTTCATAATCTTTTTCATTTCTTGGGGTGTTTTTCATAAATATCTTTTGAAGATATTTTATTTCAGGGGTATCTAAGAAAATATCTTTTGGAATATATTTTCATTCTGGGGCAATTTCGCAGTTAACCCTTTTTGTAGGGGTCATTGTGCAATTAATGAAAGTTATTGCAAAATACCTCGTCTGGAGCCTGGATCCTCGTACGGGATTCATTTTCACATTTCGTCGAGTCGTGAACTCTTAGAATTCTGTTCTGGTCGTTTTTCTCCAGTTTCAGAGTTTCTGGACCCGGTTGTCGCCTAACTTGTTCGGGGCATAACTTTCTGCTCGGGACTCAGTTTTTGACGCCATTTCTTCCGTTATTCATATTTTCTTATTTTAAATCTTTTTTGTTCACGGAGTTTTGCCGTTTGAGCGCGTTTGCTCAAAATCCACTTTTCCAGACCTGGCGGGGCTCTTTCGGGGCACTTTTTGAGATTTCTATAAATAGGTTGCCCAAATTTTTAAAATCAGATTTTCAGACCTTCTTCCTCCTCTTTTCTGGCAGCCATGGGAGCCCAAGGGGCTGCCTTCACTCTTTCTTCTCCTCCACTTGATTTCCTTGGTAGAAATCCTTCGGCCTTAACATTTGTTGTTCGCCTAGTCATGCTCTACCATTACCCCTTATTAGAAACCATTTCTGACCAAATTTTGAGTTCAGGATTGAGGTCAAGTTTGGATTCTCATGGGGCTTCTTGGGGATTCATATAGATCGTGTTGTCCACGACAAAACCTAGGAGTTTCGTCGGATTCGGAACCGTTTCAATTCGGTGGGTATTTGGGATTTTCATCTCAAATTGAGGTAGGAGGTGTTATAGGTTTAATTCTTGTTATATAACATGCTATTGATATTTATACAACTTGATTGCATGCTTAAATATGAAATCTAGAGATTTTATTATTTAATTTTCTTGTATTGGATTTGATTTTCCCGGTTGCTTATTACTTGTTTTAAACATGTAGTATGGTAATATAATACTCTATAATATGGTTATTAGCATATATTAAATTGAGGGAATTTGAACAAGTAATAAAGATTTTATTTAATATTTATCTTGAATAAAATATTAAATCATGTGGCCTTAACTAGATAAAAATCAATATGTGTTTGCATATTAAATTAGGCCTTAACATGCTCTCCAACATAGTTGAATTTGAAAGTAATTGGAGGTGTTTTGAAAATTAGTAATTTTTAATTAATTTGATAATTAATTTTCCCCGAGTGCACTATTCACTCCATTTGAATTCCGACTTGATATTCTTGATCTACATGCCATATAGCTTCACATATATTTGATTTAGAATATTTGGTGAGGTTTTGAAACCTCTCATTTAATTAATTTCCTTGGTTAAGATTTAATCCTCATGGTGGTATACAATTTGGAATTGAATTGTGGCATGCTAGAAAATTAAGTTTTGGTATGGTTGTTCACATATATTAAATTGGGATTAATTGCAACCTTTATTTTATATTTAACTTTAGTGAAAGTTTAATTTACATAGGTATAACTTGCATGAAATAAGCTTGTAATGTGATATTACATTAGTCGTTGGCATGTTCTCTAAGATATGTTAAATTGAGAGCATTTGGTTAAGTTTGAAAATCTAGAGATTTTAATTAAAAGAATTAATTAAAATCTATTTTGTGGTCCCATTAGCTTAATTAAGATTTTAACTTGATATTTGTATTGGCCATGACTTGTTTACTAGTATATATTAATTGTGGACCATTTGAAGTTGCTTTAGAACCTTGGTAATTAAATTAGCATGATTTAATTAGAGTTCTACTTTGTTGTTCCAATAACCTAATTGAGTTTTAGAATGGATATAGGTGATGACCATGCCATATTTTTTAATATGTATTAATTTGAGGTTATTTGGAATTGAATTAGAATCTAAGGAATTTAATTATTTTTATTTAATTAAATTCTATCGAATTGAGCCATGGATTTAATTGTGTTTGAAAGTTGTTTCTATATCAAAATCCTGAACATGGACTTGTTGTATATTCATTTGGTTATGTTTTGAGTATTGGATAACATAGTTGATATGTTTATACTCATGAGAATATGTTTTCTTTATTGAATATATTGTTGCCTTGTGTAATGATTTGCATATTTCGTATTTAACATCATTCATGCATAGCGTGTAACGAATCGCACACTGAAAATTCGACATTCATCACATCATATTAGTTGTGGACTTAGAGCATGTATTGTATAGGTTTCCAAATTTAGTTGTGCTTGGTAGATAGTTGATTATCTTGCATATTCCTATTGATATATGCGTTGTTGCACAACTTGTTGATTTTGGAAACTTGGGGATGTCGTTGTTTGACTATGGCTAGGGCGTGGTTCTAGTACGGGAGATAGTTTCTCTATATAGTCTAGTGCGCACATAGGGAAGTTACCCATGGGCTAGTAACCCTAAAGTAACTATGTTGTCGGTTTGATCCTGCGTGATGTCCGAGTATCCACTTTGTTTGATTTCGCATTTCATTTTCAAGTTGATAACTAGATGATGTTGTAACTTGTTGTTTCTTATTTGTCGTTCCATTTTAAGTTACAGGATGTTAACTTTACGAAATTGTGGTTTATGCATTGTATTGGAAGTTCCAATGTTGGTTAAATTGCATCGATATTGAAAATCGTGTTTTGACGTTCTAACAAAACTTAGGATTGATCCTATTGATTCATTTATAACATAGACGTTAGGTGGCATGACCCACTTCTGTTGTTTTCGTGCTTTAGATTCCAAGCTGATAGCTTTAAGAAATTGTATTTTGTTGCCTTGTATAATATGCTTTTATGTGGTTAGACTGCATTGAAGTTGAAA